GGGGGGGGGGGCTCTGACCCCAAATGATGGGTCTGGGACCCCACCCTGAAAGATTTGGGATGCAGGAAGGCGGTGGAGAGCTGCCCCGAGGTGTCCGGGATGGCGGTGTACGTGGCGCAGGATTGCACCGGTGGGGGTCCCAGCTTTGTATGCCCCCCCTCCTCCCCAAGTCCCAACGCTTTGTGTCCTGGGTGAGTGTGTATGTGTGTGGGGGGGGTCCCAGCTGAACCCCCCCCACCCCCAATTTTGGCAGTGTACAAAGAGGACGTGGCTGCGCTGCTGGAAGGGGACGCTGAGGCAGCCGTCATCCTGCTGGTCCCCGTCCGCCTGGGGGGGGAACGTCTCAACCCCGTCTACGTGGAGGGCATGAAGGTGGGGTTTCCAACAGGGAGCTGTTGGGGAGGGTCCAGAGCTGTAGAGCTGTTCTGTTAGGATAAGTTCCTCTCTGCTCTGCTCTTGTGAGGCCCCGTCTGCAGCACTGCGTCCAAGTCTGGAGCCCCCAGGACAAAAAAGACAGGGAGCTGTTGGGGAGGGTCCTGAGGAGCCACCAAGATGAGCAGGGGGGCTGCAGCACCTCCACTGTGAGGACAGGCTGAGGGAGCTGGGCTTGTTCAGCATGGAGAAGAGAAAACTGCGGGGTGAATCATTGCAGCCTTCAGCACCTCAAGGGAGCCTGAAAACAGGAGGGGAATCGACTCTTGGAAAGGGTTGATCACTGCAGGATGAGGGGAAACGGTTTGGAGTTGATTGAGGTTGGATGTCAGGGAGAAATTGTTTGCTGTGAGAGCGGTGAGGTGCTGGAACAGCTGCACAGAGAGGCTGTTGGTGCCCCGTCCATCCTTGGAGGTGTTGGAGGCCAGGTTGGATGGGGCCCTGGGCAGCCTGGGCTGGCAGGAAATGGGGAGGTTGGTGGCCCTGCATGCAGCAGGGGGTTGGAGATTCATCATCCTTGAGGTCCCTTCCAACCCAACCATTCTGTGATTCTGTGGGGACACCATGGGGACACCCAGGGGACAGTGGGGGGGGGTCCCAATCTCTGCATCACAGGAACACTGGGTGACATGGGGACACTCGAAGGGGCACCCAGGGACACTGGGGGTCCCAAGTCCATGACATGGGGACACCCAGGGGACAGTGGGGGGGGATCCCAAGCCCATGAACGTGGGGACACCCAAGGGACACCCAGGGGACACCCAGGGGGACACCCAGGGGACAGTGGGGGGGGTCCCAATCTCTGCATCATGGGAACA